TGTCGACTGCCAAAGCAATCACAACTGCGAGCCACATCCGGCCATAACCACAGTGAAGACGGGCAGTATTAGAGCTCTTCTCACAAGAGACTTCTGGCCACATCCAGCCTAAGCACAGCGAGTGTCCAAAATTGTTGGCCACATCCGGCCTCGTAAGCAGCTTGTGTGGGATGTTACTGGCCCCTCCAGCCTATAGCTGTCGGCTGTCGGTCTTTACCGGCTCCAAGCAGGGGAGAAAAATATCGGAACCGTTAGTAACCTTAAGCAATTGATGCGCGAGATCCAAAAAACTGCCCGGCCCATGCGGCCGCCTAAGCAGTCTATGCGCGAGGTCCAAAAAACTGCCCGGCCCATGCGGCAGCATGAGCCGTCTATGCGCGAAGTCCCAAAACTGCCTGGCCCAACCGGCCACATAAACAGGCGATGCGCGAAGTCCCAAAACTGCCTGGCCCAAACGGCCACATACACAGGCGATGCGCAATTCCACGAAAACTGCCTGGCCCAAACGGCCACATAACAGGCGATGCGCAATTCCACGAAAACTGCCTGGCCCAAACGGCCACATAACAGGCGATGCGCAATTCCACGAAAACTGCCTGGCCCAAACGGCCACATAACAGGCGATGCGCAATTCCACGAAAACTGCCTGGCCCAAACGGCCACATAACAGGCGATGCGCAATTCCACGAAAACTGCCTGGCCCAAACGGCCACATAACAGGCGATGCGCATTCCACGAAAACTGCCTGGCCCAAACGGCCACATAACAGGCGATGCGCAATTCCACGAAAACTGCCTGGCCCAAACGGCCACATAACAGGCGATGCGCAATTCCACGAAAACTGCCTGGCCCAAACGGCCACATAACAGGCGATGCGCATTCCACGAAAAACTGCCTGGCCCAAACGGCCACATAACAGGCGATGCGCAATTCCACGAAAACTGCCTGGCCCAAACGGCCACATAACAGGCGATGCGCAATTCCACGAAAACTGCCTGGCCCAAACGGCCACATAACAG